AGTTTGCAGGCTAAGAAAATCGTCGGAGGTCTTATACCTCTTGACGTGGGCACGAGCCTGAAATCCCAATTTCAGCCCTCGAAACATCATATGTTTCGCGACATTTCAAAACGTCTTCGGTACCTCAACTCTAAACCGTTTAACTGAACTATCACGTAGTTATCAAAATGTGTATGTCAGATGTTCGCAACATCCACAGACGACATTCGAGGTTCAGCACACTGAGCGGTGCATTAAGGACATAAGCCTTCTTTGATGCAATGAGGACAATCCTCAGTTTACGGACCTAGTCCGCATAATTGCTACTATCAACTTTCAACTAAATTTTCTCTAGGGACATATCTAAACAGTAGAACTAAAGCGCGAGCTACGACATAATTTGCAAAATCCTTTTGACTATGTTCAGGATAATTAAGTTCATCTTATGAACTCCCACTCAGATAGACATCCCTCTAGTCATCCAAGTGATTACATGATCCGAGTCAACTAGGCCGTGTCCGATCATCACGTGAGACGGACTAGTCATCATCGGTGAACATCTTTATGTTGATCGTATCTTCTATACGACTCATGCTCGACCTTTCGGTCTCTTATGTTCCGAGGCCATGTCTGTACATGCTAGGCTCGTCAAGTTAACCTAAGTGTTTCGCATGTGTTCCGAGGCCCTGTCTGTACATGCTAGGCTCGTCAACACCCGTTGTATTCGAACATAAGAATCTATCACACCCGATCATCACGTGGTGCTTCAAAACGACGAACTTTCGCAACGGTGCACAGTTAGGGGGAACACTTTCTTGAAATTTTAATGAGGGATCATCTTATTTACTACCGTCGTTCTAAGCAAATAAGATGTATAAACATGATAAACATCACATGCAATCAAATAATAGTGACATGATATGGCCAATATCATATAGCTCCTTTGATCTCCATCTTGGGGCTCCATGATCATCTTGTCACCGGCATGACACCATGATCTCCATCATCATGTCTTCATGAAGTTGTCTCGCCAACTATTACTTCTACTACTACAGCTAACAGTTAGCAATAAAAGTAAAGTAATTACATGGCGTTGTTCAATGGCACGCAGGTCATACAATAAATAAAGACAACTCCTATGGCTCCTGCCGGTTGTCATACTCATCGACATGCAAGTCGTGATTCCTATTACAAGAACATGATCAATCTCATACATCACATATCATTCATCACATTCTTCTTGGCCATATCACATCACATAGCATACCCTGCAAAAACAAGTTAGACATCCTCTAATTGTTGTTTGCATGTTTTACGTGGCTGCTATGGGTTTCTAGCAAGAACGTTTCTTACCTACGCAAAAACCACAACGTGATATGCCAATTGCTATTTACCCTTCATAAGGACCCTTTTCATCGAATCCGATCCGACTAAAGTGGGAGAGACAGACACCCGCTAGCCACCTTATGCAACTAGTGCATGTCAGTCAGTGGAACCAGTCTCACGTAAGAGTACGTGTAAGGTCGGTCCGGGCCGCTTCATCCCACGATGCCGCCGAATCAAGATAAGACTAGTAACGGCAAGTAAATTGACAAAATCAATGCCCACAACTGCTTTGTGTTCTACTCGTGCATAGAATCTATGCAATAGACCTAGCTCATGATGCCACTGTTGGGGAACGTAGCAGAAATTCAAAATTTTCCTACGTGTCACCAAGATCTATCTATGGAGAAACCAGCAACGAGGGGAAGGAGAGTGCATCTACATACCCTTGTAGATCGCTAAGCGGAAGCTTTCAAGAGAACGGGGTTGAAGGAGTCGTACTCGTCGTGATCCAAATCACCGGAGATCCTAGTGCCGAACGGACGGCACCTCCGCGTTCAACACACGTACAGCCCGATGACGTCTCCTACGCCTTGATCCAGCAAGGGGAGAGGGAGAGGTTGAGGAAGACTCAATCCAGCAGCAGCACAACGGCGTGGTGGTGGTGGAGGAGCGTGGTGATCCAGCAGGGCTTCGCCAAGCACCGCGAGACATGAGGAGAAAGAGAGAGGTAGGGCTGCGCCAGCCAGAGGAGAGGAACTCGCGTGTAATGGGCATCCCAAACCTCAAGTATATATAGGGGGAGGGGAGGGGCTGCGCCCCCACCTAGGGTTTCCTCCCTAGGGGTGGCGGCAGCCCCTAGATCCCATCTAGGGGGCGGCCAAGGGGAGGGGGAGAGGGAGGCGCACCAGGATGGGCCCTAAGGCCCATCTGTCCTTAGGGTTTGCCCCCTTTCCACCCCTTAGGCGCCTTGGGCCCTTGTGGGGGGCGAACCAGCCCACCTGGGGCTGGTCCCCTCCCACACTTGGCCCATGCAGCCCTCCGGGGCTTGTGGCCCCACTTGGTGGACCCTCGGGACCCTCCTGGTGGTCCCGGTATGTTACCGATAAAACCCAAAACTTTTCCAGTGACCAAAACAGGACTTCCCATATATAAATCCTTACCTCCGGACCATTCCGGAACTCCTCGTGACGTCCGGGATCTCATCCGGGACTCCGAACAATATTCGGTAACCACATACAAACTTCCTTTATAACCCTAGCGTCATCGAACCTTAAGTGTGTAGACCCTACGGGTTCGGGAACCATGCAGACATGACCGAGACGTCCTCCGGTCAATAACCAACAGCGGGATCTGGATACCCATGTTGTCTCCCACATGTTCCACGATAATCTCATCGGATGAACCACGATGTCAAGGACTTAATCAATCCCGTATAAAATTCCCTTTGTCTATCGGTACGATACTTGCCCGAGATTCGGTCGTCGGTATCCCGATACCTTGTTCAATCTCGTTACCGGCAAGTCTCTTTACTCGTTCCGTAACACATCATCCCGTGATCAACTCCTTGGTCACATTGTGCACATTATGATGATGTTCTACCGAGTGGGCCCAGAGATACCTCTCCGTCACACGGAGTGACAAATCCCAATCTCGATTCGTGCCAACCCAACAGACACTTTCGGAGATACCCGTAGTGCACCTTTATAGTCACCCAGTTACGTTGTGATGTTTGGCACACCCAAAGCACTCCTACAGTATCCGGGAGTTGCACAATCTCATGGTCTAAGGAAATGATACTTGACATTAGAAAAGCTTTAGCATACGAACTACATGATCTTGTGCTAGGCTTCGGATTGGGTCTTGTCCATCACATCATTCTCCTAATGATGTGATCCCATTATCAACGACATCCAATGTCCATGGTCAGGAAACCGTAACCATCTATTGTTCAACGAGCTAGTCAACTAGAGGCTTACTAGGGACATGGTGTTGTCTATGTATCCACACATGTATCTGAGTTTCCTATCAATACAATTCTAGCATGGATAATAAACGATTATCATGAACAAGGAAATATAATAATAATCAATTTATTATTGCCTCTAGGGCATATTTCCAACAGTGATGGTGTCTACGGAGATGGAAAATGGCGGTGGCTAGGGTTGAAGAGAGGGAATGAAGATGGTTCTGTTCTGGCTTCACTCGCGGATGTTTTGTTGACATTTCGATGTGGTCCTCTTTATAAAAATTGTTTAGGTGGACGTGGCGCCTCAAAGTTCACGCATACGAGCGCTCGTGGTCGTATGGAACGTCATGCTGTCTTCGCTGGTGTGCCCCCTCCTGATTTCTTCTATCTCCTTTCCACTCCTTTCCATGTTCACACGTGATTTGTTCCCTTTTTAGCCTATTTCCCATGAAAACACATCAAAGAGAGGATTTGTGGAATCCTTTGCATTCATTAGTCGTTAGTAGAAATATCGGAGTGAATATTTCAGTTTCAGCGAAATATATCGGTTTAAACAAAGGGTGAATGAGTATAAAAATATCACTCATCAGCCCCTACCCCCCACCTGTAGTGAGAGAGCAGTGTCGCTGGGCGGTGACACACCTCCTCTCTCGTGAAGGAAATAATGCCAGCCTGAGTCCCCTATGCCCCATAGGGAGAGAACAGCACCGCCGCCGCCACATGTTGGCGACGATGGTGTCGAGGAGAGATTCGAGGGGAGGAGTTGCTTGCTATGGTTTGGGGTTTCCCCGGGAGTCTCCTAAGCGAGCGATCCAAGAGGCCTGATTTTTTTCCTTTTTCACGCGCATACTAGCAGGATGCCGTTGATTCACCTGCTGAAATTGAGGATCTTAGGGCTCTGGTTGAAATCGATCATACATACGTGGTCCAATCTGACCAGGCATACCTCCCCGTCCCCCTGGACCAAGGGAAGTCTACTGAAAACATGCACTGCTAGTGAGTTTGAGGACTAAGAGTATCTACTGTCAGACTTCCTAAGTTGACCGGATGGACAGAGGACCATTGACAAGACAGAAACGAGACGGAAAAAAGTTGACCCAACCGGACCCCTGAAAGCCTCTCTAAATGCTTTGGCTGTCCGGGCAATATGAGGAGTGCCCGGACGTGTCCGGTCAATGGTTCTGCGTCTGGGCAATAGGATTTGGCCCACCAAGGATCATCTTTTCTCTTCTCCGCGAAAAAAAGAGTTCATCTTTCCTTTTTTGTTTATTCTTCCTTTTCTTCATCTTCAACAATCACATGCATGTCACCTCACGAATATAGGAAAAGTTGGGAACATCACTGTGAAAATGAAAATTTGATAGGTGACCAGTAACTACTCACGGACGCGACCGAACGCATCCATGAATGTTTGAGTGCCGGATTAGGTGTATGGGGCTGTAAATGCTACTCCCTCATTCGTAAATATTTTTTTTTAGAGATTTCAAATGAACTATCACATCCGGATATATATATATAGACATATTTTAGAGTGTAATTTCACTCATTTTGCTTTGTATGTAGTCACTTTGTTGAAATTTTTAATAAGACAAATATTTTAAGAACGAAGGAAGTATAAGTTTATAATTTTCTCGGACCACTTGGATAGGGGGGTCACAAACGCTAAGAGCCAATTATCTTATCTCGTCGATGTGTCGTTGGTTGTGTGGTGGGTGGCAGTTGTTATTACATGGAATTTTCTCCGGAGCACCACCAACGCCCATTCATCATCCCCTGCCTGCTGCTTTGTTCTATCCTCCGTCCGTCCACCCGGCGGCAGTCCAGCCCCGTATTCCCACCCGGCGGCGGTCGTCGGAGCTGCGAAAGCCCGGCAGCAGGCATGGAGGCTGCCTTGGCGAGCGCTCTGGCCAAGGAGGTGCTAGTGAAGCTGGCCTCGCTGCTGAGCGAGAAGCACAAGCTGACAAAGCGCCTCAAGGATGACATCTACTCCATCCACACCGAGCTAAAGATGATCTTGAGCGACATGGACGAGCACCTGGGGGATCCGAGGCCCTCGGGCCCGCGGGTCGTCTCCATGGAGGAGATGCGCGATCTGGCGCACGACATCGAGGATTGTATAGATCGGTTCCTGCCCTGCGCCGCCTGCGAGGCGGAAGCAGCAGCATCGTTCCTCCACCGATTCAAGAAGGCGCTCTCCAGTAACGGATCCCGTTTCGCCAAGGAGATCCGGGCGCTCAGGGACAGGGTCAAAGTCGCGCACGAGCGAAGGGCCAACTACGGCCTCAACGGCGGGGGATCCTCCGCCGGAGCCGGAGCCGGAGTAGCCGCTCCTCCCGCGACCGAAACTCACCCTGTGGGCATCGACAAGCCCAAGCAGGAGCTCGTCGACCTGCTGCTGGGCAGCAAGCCAAGGAATCTGAGTGTGATATCCATCGTGGGGTTCGGCGGCTCGGGGAAGACGACGCTCACCAGGGCAGTGTATGATTGCCCGGCTGTCGCCTTGGAATTCCCTGCCCGTGCCTGGGCCAAGGGGTCGGACCACACGGACGCCCCTGGGCTCGTGAATTTCATATGTTCGGAGCTCCCCACCGCCAACAATCACAGCAATGATGTTCTGCCGACTACAAAGTGAGCATACTCTGCACTAACTTCCGGCCTCGCCAGCTTGCGCTAGAATCATTTTTGCACAATTTTTTTCGGGAATTTTTTGCACACACTTTGGTGGTGCACAGTTAGGACACATACAATGGTTGAGAAGATAACCTTATCTTAAACCTTGCATGTAATTTAGATATGACAATAAAAATATATTTATAATGGGTTATCTCTTAGTTTTATCTTAAATAACTAGATATCCTTAAAAATATGATTAGACATATTGTGCTAAGAGATCATCTCTTAAATAAGAGAAGACAAGACTTTTCTTATGGATTCTCTCTCCTCCACTACAACATTTATCCTATATGGCATACCTATGATAGTACCATGTATCAGGGTGGACGCGGTCCGGACTGGTCCGGGCCCTGACCGAGCCGCCGTCTGGACCGGCCGCCGGCGGACCAGACCGGACCGGACCGAGCAGTGCCGCGGTCCGCTTTCCATGGACCGGACCGCCGGTGGTAAAGCTGGGGCCGGACCGAGAGGACCGCCCATGTCGTCGTACGGCGACGGCGAGCGGCGGCGCATGGCGACTGCGAGCTCCTGCAGGAGATTACGGGGCACGGGGAGGAGAGGAAGGAGAGAGACACAGCCGCATGCCCATCATGAGCACGTTTAAAGAGGTCGGAGAGGCCAAATACATGACGACGGCGATGAATGGAGATGTTGCCGTAGAGGTGGTGGCGTCGCAGGAGCCGGTGGAGGTCACCTCGACATGAGGCTGCTGGAGTTCTTCATCTCGGAGGCCACCGAGCGAATGAAATCCAAGGGCGGGTCTATTCCTGGCGACACGCAATTAATCTCGTTGCCTCGGTGTTTCCTATTTTCTTTTTTTAGGGTACTTTCTATTTTCTGTCACGTTAATACTGATTGTTTTTTGAAAGTATCACGTTAAATCGGTTGAGTCGATAGGAGTCCACATTATAGTATTGTTGCATGTGACATAACTATCCTTTTTACAGTTTGCATGTTGCAAATAAGTAGGGCCTGTAACGTGTATGCACACGTACAAATGTACATTCAGTCGTACAAATTCTGATCTGGCACAGGTTAATACGATCGTGGGGAGGTGTAGGATGGAAGGAACGCATGCGATCGTGCCCATCTTTCTCGTTCTTTCTGTTTCTGCTTCGTTGAATAAAAGGAAAACTCCAACGTGTTAGGCAATAGAATTCCTCCTACGAAGTAAATCGTGGAGATAACTGTCTCTCCAATAACGTGGAGTGAATCGTGGAGATAACTGTCTCTCCAATAACGTGGAGTAAATCATGGAGATAGTCTCTACCTGCCAAAGAATCCATCGCGTGAGTTCCTGCGTAAGAAACAGCCGAGCTCGTTCGGTCCCGTCGAGTTAACCGAGCTAAGCCCGGACCGGACCGGTCGATTTTCGGGCCGAAATTCCAAGCTCGGACCGGCCGGTTTTCCCAGCGAGCCAGGACCGATCGGTCCGGTCCAGATCGGTCCACGAGCGGGCCGAAAAGCCCGCTCGGTACGTCCAGCCTGAACCATGTACGTGCCCTTACAGCCATGTTGTTTTGAATTTGGAAGAATGCACGTAATTTACTAGCTAGACACTAAACTCGCAATTTCTGGTATGCTATCTCTTTATAATTTGTGTGTGCTTGATTTGCGATCAATCCTCAGTAAAATCAGGGAGATGTATCAATGAAATGTTGAGATGTATCAACGAAATTTTGTGAAAAATAGGTGCCAAATAGGATTAGTCCCATTTTTCTTTTAGGGTGCAATTACAAGTATTAATTGGTAGTCAGACATTCAAACCAATTTCCCGCATTAACTTATGTTGCAGTACTTGGACAAACTGATTACAATCCAAGAGTCGACCACTTTTTTTGTGTGTAAACAACATGTAGAGTGTGGTTTCTTGTCCCTCTAGAAAAACAAGTCTAGCTTTGTACTTGCAACAATAGAGTGTCACATGTAGGAAGCGGATATGTAGCACATGGGTACTCCACCCCCTATATGAACATTGAGTTCAAAGAAATACCAAGAAATTTGAAAAAAAAAACTAGGATTTTGGGATATTATACTTGGGTGTCCGATTTGCTGTCGTGTGAAATTTCATGAAAACATACCAGAAAACGTATCCGTAGCAAAAAAGACAAATAAAAAATCTATGTATAGAAAAAAACTGTTTGGATCAATTTTTGTTCGAACAGTATTTCCTTCGTCACGGATACGTTTCTGGTATTTTTTTCACAAAACTTCGCACGGGAGTAGATTGGGAAACCATGTTTGATAACCCTGACTTTCAGATTGTTTTGAATCTTTTTGGTATTTTTTACATTTAATATTCGTATAGAGGTGTGGAGCACCGAGGAGCTCCTGTGTATTTTCCATCACATGTACTGTTAATTTGCATTCCCTCTTATTATGTACATATAAAAAGTTGGCAATTCTATGCACGATTGAGTGCTTATGCATGTTTTATCTGTTTATAACAAATCGGTGAATTACAACCAATTGCTTCCAGCCCACAGATGTATTAACTTACTCATTTGTCAATTTGTCTGCCTCGCAGGTGCTTAATTGTAATCGATGACATCAACCAGCAACACTGGGATCACGTAAAAGCTTCTTTCCATGGGAAAATAGAAGGGATAATCATTGTAACCACGGCTTTTCACTCGGTAGCTAACGCCTGCAGATCAGGTGATGGCTATATTTATAAGATGAGTGTTCTTGATGCAGAAGTCTCTAAAGTTTTGCTAATGAAGAGGTTTTCCATTCACGAATTTTCACCTGACATGGAGCTGGGTGCAACAGCAATTGTGGACAAGTGTGATGGCCTTCCTCTTGGTCTTGTCAGCGTGGCCCAATTTTTGCTAGGCGAGGAAATGCTCACTGGAAGTCGTTGTGAAGAAGTTTGCCGTATTCTCGGGCATCATATGGAGGTGAATGCAGAATTCAAAAAACTGCAGCAGGTTCTTGTACATAACTACATAAGCCTGTCTGACTATCCTCTCAAGACCTCCTTGCTATACACAAGTTTGTTTCCAAATGATCGGCCGATCAAGAAGAATACATTAATCAGACGATGGATAGCAGAAGGGTATGTACAGTGTGGGTACAAACGCAGTGACCTGGAGGTAGCAGATGACAACTTCCGGAAACTTGTTGACCGGAATATCATTCGGCCGATCGATGCTAGCAACAACACAAAAGTGAAGACGTGCAAAACTCATGGTGTCATGCACGAGTTCTTGTTGCACAAGTCCATGTCTGATAACTTCATCTCATCTCTTCATGATCAAAATCGAAGTAAATGCCGTCACCTGTTCATCCAGAACCCTACAAGTGGCAGCACCTTGGGCCCAGCAAGCAACAGCGTATGTGGCAGTGGCAGTGAAAAACTCCGTGCCCGGTCTCTCACAATCTTTGGGAATGCAGGAGATGCTTCTTCTGAGTTATGTAGGTGCGAGCTGCTGCGAGTGCTGGATCTGGAAGCATGCAGCGATTTGGCGGACGGCCATCTCAAAGACATCCATAAGCTGTGGCATCTAAAATATTTGAGCCTTGGTGGCACAGTCAGAAACCTTCCAAAGAATATTGACAAGTTACACTGCTTGGAGACACTGGACCTGAGGAAGTCAAAGATAGAGATATTGCCAGTGGAAGTCATCGGGTTGCCTCACCTAGCTCACCTGTTTGGAAAGTTAAAGCTTGGGAAAAAGGACTTGAAAGTGGATGAACTAAAGAAGTTTCTACCGAAAAAATGTAATTTGAAGACTCTTGCAGGATTTATTGCAGATGAAAGCCCTGGATTTCTACAACTGATGGCTCATATGAAAGAATTGAAAAAGGTTAAGATATGGTGTGAATCCACTGGTACAAACAATCACATTGCAGAGGCAGTTGAGAAGTTTGCTCAGCGTGGTATGGACACGGCAGATGTTCGTTCTCTGTCACTTGATTTTGGAAATTCCTTGGGGGACTTCCTGGATTCTATAGAGAAATTGTGCTATCTTAGCTCACTGAAACTGCGTGGCGGACTGAGTCTACTGCCTCACTTTGTTACCTCCCTGTGTGGCCTCAAGGAATTGTGCCTTTCATCAACTAATCTTGCAGGGGAGCATCTATCAAACCTGTGTCAGATGAGTGGTTTGCTTTATCTCAAACTGGTTGAAGCTGACCTTAGCGGCTTCACCATAAAAGACAAGGATTTCCCAAGCCTGCTCTGCTTATGCCTTATTGTGCAAACACCCGCCCTGCCTAAAATCAGAGAAGGAGCTCTGCCACGTCTTGTCTCACTTCAGCTGCTCTGTAAAGATCTTGTTGATCTTTCAGGCATCGAGATCAAACACCATCACTACCTGCAGGAAGTTGTTCTTGATTCTGTGGTCAGCACAAAAACAGTTGAAATGTGGGAAACTGCAGCGAGAAATCATCCTAAGAGACCAAAAGTTATGTTCCTCAGAAGGATTGACCCAAGCGAAACTGAGTCTAATGTGAAATATGTGGCGACAGACGGACCGATACACGAGAAGGCACCATCTGTTGAACTCATTCAAGTTCAATCAGCGTAGAATATGTTGCAGAACGAATGCATGGTCTGGTCAGTCCAATCAATTTCAGTGAACACACACAATTCAGCTTCCAAGAAAACGGTAGTTTCAGAACTGCCCCAGGTTGCACGCGAGCTGTTCAGTGCTGGAAACAGTGCAATGCCTCCTTGTGCAAGGTGAACCTGGCTGTCAGTTATGTGCTTTTCTTTATGTTCAGGCATGTTGCACGTCAACAAATGTCCGAGATAGTATATACGTTCACTACTTTCTGTTACCAAGCAACAAATATTTTGTAAGTGCACCATAATTACATGACTATGAGTCTACCACACAACAGTACACCACAATTGTTTGTGTTCTTGTATGTAAAAGAAGTTGTGTTTTTTTGCGATGATTTTTTTCTTTCTATTTGATGGTTAATGACTCTCGCAGGTAGCTCATCCTCCATGTGTACAAAGGTAATGCATGACCGTAATGCATATTTAATGATCTGATTTGTTATAATCATGTTTTACCAAATAAACAGTGGATATCGTTTTTCTCTTTTGATTTCATGGACCTTTTCTTTTCAAGCATTTGCCTGAGATTGTTCACATACACTAGGGAGATTCCGTCTCCATGATATGCCTCGCATCATCACGTTTGAACTGAATGCTACCTTTGCCTGAGATTGTTGTAAGTACATAGTCTGAGGAATATCACATAGAGGGAAAGAAAATTAGACAAAAACAGAGAAGTGATGGACCTACCAAAAAAATCCGAAGCCCAGTTAGAGATTGACAAGGTAAGTAGAGATCGAAGAAATGGGCCTGACAACTATGAAAAACAGAAATGGATCCAACAGAAAATGGAAGCCTACTGTACGCAAAAGTACAATGGGCCAACAGAAATAAGAAAGCCAAATTTAAAAAAAAATAGCAGAGCCAGGTTTAGATCCTAGGAACTGCTTATGGGCCGACCACGCTTCTGCTGTGCCACTCTGATTGTTTCAGTAGTTCTGTGACATTTAATGTACTTATTGTTTAGGCTTGAAAGATTGCAACGTGCAACTGATCGGCCTATCTTCTTAGCAGATACACCGATTGAAGGTTTCGATCTGTGGATGCCACGCCATCGAAACGTTCACGCTGGCTACAACGAGCTATATATACAGTGTGCAGGGCTCGAATAGTACGAAGTGGTACGGCCACTGAATCGCCGTGCTCACTAGCCACCAGTACTGGAAATCTCTATTTGCCACGCGTTGCAGCAAATTGTCGCTGCATCGAACAGGCGGGCTCACTAGCGAAGCAACTGGGCCGGCCCCTTTAACCAGTTAGTTCGTTCCGGTTTTGGGACGTTTTTTTGTCACGATTATAGTTTTTTTTTTCGTCTTTTCTTCTCTTTTCTTTTCAGTTTTCAAGTTTATTTTACTTTCTTAACAAAATGTTTGGAAATTTCCAACATTGTTCAGAATTCAGTAGTTTATTCCTGTTTTTGTAATTATGTTCACACTTTTGAAAAATGATCGCTAATTTGAAAAATATGTTTCTGTCTTTGGTTTGGAAACTAAAAAATTGTTCATAATTTCTAAAAACTGGTTCAGGTTTATCAAAATTGGTTGAAATTTTTAAAAAATGTTCCTGTTTTTCAAATTTCGAATTTTGCTCACAGTTTTAAAATTTGTTCCAGTTTTAAAATTTGGTTAAAATTCGAGAACTATTCACAATTTTTCAGAACTCATGTGTGTTTGTCAAAAACGCTCTGAAGTTTTTAACAAAGTCCGATGTGCCAAGGTAGCAAGTTTTAAAGTATTTGCGCTGCCTATTCTTCCGAAATCGTAATCAGTCGCAGTGGCTAGCTACATGTGGCTACAAACCACTCAAGAAATACCTGTGGCTACAACAGCGGGATAGTAATTTTGAAACCTAAGTTTCACTTCTCATTTTTCTGATTTGTACACTGCTCGTAGCTACCGCGTGGGCCGACCTAGTCGGAGGACTGCCCTGTGCGAAGCCCCGACATTCTGTTGCAGAATGCAACAAATAAGAGGTCCCACCAGTATTATAAAATAATACTCATCATAGTTAAAGTGATCCTACCGTCAAACGCTCGATAATACTGCGCACAGTTGCCTCTGCTGCTCCCCTCGAGCTCCCTCTATCTATTGTACTGACCACTTCTTCTTGCGTAGGTAAGCCACTGTGTGCTGGTACATTTAATTCTATGGCAATTTCTAGTATTCTAGGTTGTGTTGATGGTCTTTGATGCAAACACTTGAGCTTCTCGAGATGATTCTGGTATAATAGTTAGTGGATTTAGCCCTCAAGTTTAGTCATGTGAGTTTTTCTCCGTGATTCTAATATAATAGTTAGAGGATTCTTGGTTTCTCTCTTTTGAAGCCTGTAGTTGTGTGCTGTGCAGCGTGCGCTGGAGTGTTTCCCTTGTCGATGTGCCAGGCAATGTGTATGCTGGTTGTAATTGGTGCTTGGCTGATCTTGAGGCCAGTGGTTGGTCTGTTTTTGCTATGTGATATTTAAGAGGAATGGTTTAGCCAGCCTAAATCTTTGTTTTTTTTATAAAGCAGCCCCTTATGGCCTTTTCTCTAAATATTTAGCTTTGATTTTATCTACTGATGATGATGTGGTTGTTTGACTCCTAGGGCTCTTGTGAAATTATGGCATGTCCTGTCCTAGGTACCCCAACACGGCCCTAAGGCTCTTGTTAAAACTGCTCTATAAGAAAACTAAAAACAGAGAAACACCAAACACACTACTGAAGGAAACAGAGAACCAGGAACGTATTTGAAGGAATTAGAGAAATAGAAGAAAACATAACGAATGAACTAAAATGGTTTGTTGTGTGATGGCATTTTAGCATTTTAGCACATACATATCATGATTTGTTGTGTGATGGAATAAAAATGGTATTAATTTATAAAATTGGATAGTGATAAGCATGAACTAGATGGCACCAAACAATGTCAAATTACATTCATGGATGAGTAGCCTATAAGTGAACATAGAGAAACATTCACATATGTTCTTTCTTCTTTTTTCGAATTACAAGACAAACTAGAGGGACACAATTTTCTATAATTTTCTTTTATTGAAGTCAATAAAATCAGAGACAAAATAATGAGTTTACAAAACAAGATTAACGCAATTAAACAAGATCATGCACAAGGATAAGGGGAGGGGATTTTGGGTCGAGGCTAGCGGTTGCATTTTTGTACGCGGGTGTGCGGGTACGCGGGTATGGGTATTGTCTTCCCGTACCCATACCCGACTTACCCGATGAGTACATTTTTTTTCCATTTATAAACCTATGGATATTTATTTTTTTCAAACCCTTACCCTAATAGGGTTTTTACCCGTCGGGTTCGCGGGTTGCGGGTACCCATTGTCATATTGATCCGCGCCATATGTTTGTCCCACACTCCCTTGAGTTGCTGGATGACTGATGACCAAGTAGTCGGCCAAGTCAAGCTCATTGTACGATCCATCCCTCTCACTCCCTCTGCATAAACCACAACCACTCAGCGGTTTCAACGGCTCGGCCACCGTTGACAATCTGAGAATCGAAGGCGTTCTGGAAAAACGCTAAGATAGGCCTTTCCCTTCTTGAGTATAGTTAGCGTTTTTCAGAAACGCCCCGTTAGACATTTCAAGGCGGTTTTTCGGCCTTCAAAGGCACTTATTAATGCCTCCTAATCACTACTGTGTTGTAGTGTAAGGCCGTCGTCGACGAACAGAAATGTGACACGTGGCACCAACCTATTGCTTCATTTGTTGCACCATAATCTGCTGGAAGGCTTGCCTCTCCGCCGCAAGCCTGTGCTCCATCCTCTCGCCTTGCCTTCTCGATCGGGTCTTCCTCATGAGCCTTCTTCTCCTCCTCTTGTTGGGTCTACAGGTTGTCATCGCAATTTCATCAATGTTGCGATGCACACATGTAAAAGAGAGAAATTGATGAGCGAAAAAGAAGAAACCTCGAGTTTTTTTTTGGTCGAAGAAACCTCGAGTTCGGTCAACGCAGCTAGTGTGTTTGGGTGAGTGTGTATAGCAGAACTAGAGCTAGTCCTTCTTACCTTGAGCTGACAGAGAGTGTGGGAGTGGAGGTTGTACCGATGATCGTGTCTCCAGCAAATAACGGTCACTTTGCTTGCCTACCCCCCACGCCGCCTGGTAAGGAGCTACCCATTTCTAACGCCAGAGCGCCTGCTGCAGCTCCTTGAGCTGATCCGGGTAAAGCACGAAGCCCGGATCACCGCGGGGCTACCTTAGGATGTAGGGGATCCGGAGGAGGAGTTGGAGGAGGAGGATGAGGATGTGGGGGACGCAGATCTCCAGGCGGAGCAGTAGGCCATCCTTGATTCCCTCCGCTTGGAGTCGGATGCGGAGGCCAGATGCCGTCGTCAGCAGGAGATGGAGGCGGAGCACGCTGCAGAGGAGGAGGAGGAGATGCTCGCCTACATGGATGAGGCCGGGGAGGAGGGGGGGTGTGGAGGACCTGGAGCCCTCCTACGTGCTCGTCCACCCGGCGCCCGACATCAACGTCGTGGACATCTCTGACGACGAAGATTAGCTAGGGTAGTACGTAGGATTTCTTTCACATGCTTTGTATATAGGGATTGAAATATGAGAGACTCGGATGCATAGTAGCAAATTTGAGGCGTGACATGTCGCGTCCACGGGCGTTTGAGGGATCAGATTTGTCGTGTCCGGCTGTAGATGCTCTAGGGATGTAAACGCTCTTATATTTCTTTATAGAGAGTACATGTTTTCTTAAAATTTAAAAACTGGATCAAAAGTTCTTTTTTGGCTTAAAAAACTAACGGTTTGCCGGAAGAGCAAAAAGAAGAAACATTCAAACCGTGTGGGCCAAACCGTAGAAACCGCTATGCGGTTGTGGTTTAAGGGCTGGTAACGTCGTGCATCTGAGCTTGACTTTGACAATTCTTCGGGTCATCGCCAACACGGTGCCGAGAGGGAGCGACGACGGACCAAGACAATGGCGCGGAGCCTAGTGCCCACTGGCCTAAGACATTTCCACAAACACCTCGAGCGTGCGCAGATAAAAAGGCTATCACCGATCCTTCCGTCGCCGATAAAAAGGCTACCTCCAATCCTCTTCCTTCTAGCTAGGGGAACATACTCATAGTGCACCAGTGAGTGATCATGGCGTTCACGGTCGTGGCCAATGTGGCCGCGGTGACACAGCTCATCGGGCAGGCGACCGGGCTCATCTCTAGCATCATTCGGGCGGTGGCGACGGCGCGGCAGAACAGGCGGGAGTGCGAGAACCTCGCGCTCCGCCTGTCCATCATCGGCGACGTGTTGCCACGCCTGCCTCAGGACCAGGTGGTGGAGCGGCCACTCAAGGAGCTGCGCACGGCGCTGGGCAAGGCGCACGAGCTCGTCCTTGCCTGTCAGGACAGGAGCGCCGCCAACCGCTTCTTCGGGGCTCGCCGCCACGCCGATAGCTTCAGGGAAATCAATGCCAGGATCTACTTCGTTCTCAGCCTCTTCCCCATGGTGAACTATGCTGCCATCACCAGCCATCTCGCTCGAATCAGTCTCGAACACACATGGGTGCCGACGATGATCACCGTGCCATCGCCAAGCTCTTCCTCCCTGCAGACTCTGACGGTGGTGCCCGATTACCCCTGCATGTTCTCGTGGGCGGAGATTGTAACGGCGACCAACAACTTTGCAGACAAGCTCGGCCGAGGTTGGTCGGGGACGGTGTACAAGGGCCGTCTCCACGACGGCCCGGAGGTGGCCGTTAAGGTGCTAGACAAGCACAGGCCGCATGACACGTTCGTGCCGGAGCTCGTGATCACCTTCCGCCTCCGCCACGACCACATCGTGCGCCTCGTCGGTTGGTGCGAGGAGGAGGACGACCGCATGTTCGTCTACGAGCATATCAGCAACGGCACGCTTAGAGACCACCTGCAGCGCGTGCGCTCGTCGCCGGTGACGGCGGCGCCCTGGAGGACCCGCATCGCGGCGCTGTTGGGCGCGTCCCGGGCCATCCAGTACTTGCACTGCGGTGCGCAGCCGGTGGTCATCCACCGCAATGTCAGCTCGTCCAGCATCCACCTGGACATGAACTGGACACCGCGCCTGTCCGGCTTCGGCGCGGCGGTGTATCAAGCGGCGGGCGAGGAGCATGGCGGCCAGCTCGTCGAGGAGGTCGTTGGCACGCCCGGGTACGTCGACCCGGAGTAAAGCCGCACGAAGCGCCTGAGCACGGCGAGCGACGTGTACAGCTTCGGGGTGGTGATGCTGGAGGCGCTGACGGGCGAGGATCCGGCCACCCTGCAGCTGGACTCCATACGGAACGGGAAGCTAGCGCTGAAGGATGTGCTGGACCGTCGGCCGTCGCTGGACCCGACGCTGCCGCAGATGGAGGCGCTGGAGATCGTGGCGGACACGGCGAAGCGCTGCCTCTGCCTGTCGCGGATGGGCCGGCCGGACATGTCGAAGGTCGTGGCCAACCTCGAGGAGGCGCTCGTGGTGATACGCAGCCATGAGCCAATGTCCATGGCACGCTTAAGCCTCATTAGACGGAGAACCAGTGAGAATTAACTAATTCTCTGTCAAACGGCGGATAAAGCATTTGTATCCAAGGTTTTGTTTGTTGGTTTGCCCCAGGAAATTGTGATGCCGTTCGAGAAAGAAAATTGAATATTTTAATTAATATGGATCACATATGGACTGAAATGAGCAAATAAATAAAACCAAACGTGAACGGAGGCTTTTTATCTAGTATCATGAAAAGCAGTTTCATATTTTGTCTATTAGGTATAGATGTTGTTATTTTATTCTATAATCTTGGTCAAACATTTTGAAATGGTTCACTTGCATAGAAATCAACACACCTTACCTTTTCATGGGGATTCCGTAAATATCCCATTTCAAAAATCGAAACAATCGGGACTTTTCGAAGATTGGATGCAGCTACTAATTCATGATCTGGCATTCTAAAACACAAGGAGTAGAAAAAAAAAATTTGCCTCCTTCCTCCATCCTTTCCTTGGACTCGGTTTTTCCCTAGCGGATGTCCCCTTCTTGTGTTTTCCTCAACCATGCCCCAATCCTGGCGCATGCATGGGCTACTCAGAGCTTCTCCAACCCACAAATGGAGCTCCTTTATATCCCATGTCCCTCCCTCGCATGATGCCCGAGCACCGTTGTCCTTAGTCCGCAAGCTTCATCTTTCGCCGGCGTCCTTCTCGTCTTGATTCTCCTCACCAACATTGTCATCACCACAGTCGAAGCATTCACGGAGACACCACTACCTACAGCCCTCCAGCATGTGAAGTGTATTGTCCATCGGAGTGTTCACGGGAAACACGAGCCTACTTGGGCCACTTGAAGAGCAGCATTGATGTACGACAGAAACTCGAGGAGAAAACCACAATATGTATCTTTTGTAGCTGTTATGGTATTTGGAAATAGTCAAATTTCCCTGTCTACCAACTGGACAACAACTAACGTCAATGATATTTTCGGTACCATATAACACATGTTTTGCTATTCAAATTGACGACCGAAAAACCCGTGCCTGACTTATAAATCTGGATAGAGGGGTACTCAACACCACCACGTAGCCGTGTTTATGCAGGACGTGTGTGTGTGTGTGTGTGTGAGGCCGGGGGACAGGCGCTCTGCCACTAACGGCAGATGTCGGCCCTGCCCGGGAATGCGAGGGACGTAGATCAAGTGCCTAGCTAGGCTCAAAATAATAGTCTCTCCATCTTCATATTAGTTGTCGCTGATTTAGTAAAACCTGTACTTAACCCTAACTTATTACTATAATTTAAGTTAGGTTTAAGTACAAGTTCAGTAATTAACATTCCAGTGTGAGTTTGGATTCTAATGTGCCATAGGTTCACTATTTGCATTATTCCAATGTATGTATGTATGGACAGACTTGGTCTCTAAAGCAACTAGCACCGTACAACAAATTAAGATTCCTTATAAAAACCTAGCAACTACGCGGCAGGCTGCCTCCACTTGTACTACTGCGATTACTTCCGGTTGTTGATTAAGGGATTGGGAACACGTACTCACGTAGCATTCGGGTGGCGGACACGGCATCCAAGAACATGGTGGCATGTCTACGGGGTGGACATTATGATGGTCCATGGACCATCCAGAAATTTTCACTTGGCTTATATAACATAGGAAATAATAGAAAAATTGAAGATAAATAAATTTATGTAGATAGTTTTATTATAATTGGACCTCCCTAATTTTCTCACCCAGCCTATACGCTAGAGATATATTTGGCAGTTAGAGATTACACGGGGTTAGATATGAATGGTTTTGATCCTATCTCTACGAGGATTCCTGATACTTTAAGTCTTGTACTCAATATATATTCGACCCAAGGCTTATAATACACACAATTATGTGTACTATTTGTGGTTCTGGTGGTTTGCTTTATTTATAAAGTGGGACGAAAGCCTTTTCGGATATAATACACACAATGCTATAGAGACAGTTATAGTTGTAATTGCAAAGACATGAAGATGATTATCATGCATTGGTGGACCATCATGTTATGTTGTAGACGAAGAAGGTGTTCTGGACCAAAGGTGTTGGGAGGAAGAGGACACGACAATACCATATGACATTAATATAATGAATTGTATGTGATGTTAATCACTTTTATGCACTCTATTTGATGCACGCTGTATAATGAATTGCATCTGTCTCTCTATGTAACCGACGCCTTTAGAGCAAGTATAATAAGTCCTACTCAGCAGGCTACAAGACTTGCCACGTCACAAAAATCCTACATGAAAGAGAGAGAAGTGAGGAGAGAGAGTAGAGCCGGCTCTTCACTAGTCGCCCGCCTATACGCATGTTACGAGGCGCAATAGCTGGCTTGCAGCCCGAGCTGCTGCCTGTAAACCAGCGCTTTGCCATTCCTCCCAATCCCAGCATGCAAAGATTAATACTTAAATCCAACCCAACAGCCAACCTATAGCTGTCCTATTATATGGTGTTGGCTGTATGAAGACTATAGATGACATGGACATGACTATAGAGCCGGCTGCTGCCTCTCTTATTAACCATGCTCTTACAAGACAAAGCCAATCACCAATGAAATCATTAACCATTCATTCAGTACTTATCGTTCTTCACAAAATCGATGGGAGATGAAAGAAAAAACGTTGGGTACCGTGGCAAAGAATTAGTGGTTCGCCCAACAAATTAAATGGATATTTGAAAGATATATATGGAGCCATTTTTTGTAGTGTCGCTACTTTTCAGTCAATCCATGCGTGCCCAAGACATTGGCTCGTTGCTGCGAATCATCTCGAGCGCCCTCTGGAGGTTGGCCACGACGTCAAACATGGCCAGCCGGTGCTGCCCGCGCGGGCACAGGCAGTGGCTCGCCGTGTGTGCCACGAGATCCAGTGCATCCAGCAGACGCCGCCGCGTCGGCTGCAGCGCCGGGTGGCCATCCAGCACATCCCGCAGCATTCCGTCGTGTACGCTCGGGAGCACGGAGTCGACGAGGAGGCCGAGCGTGACGCCGTAGATGTCCGGCGGCCTCCCCGTCAGCGCCTCCAGCATCACCACCCCGAAGCTGTATACATCGCTCGCCGTGCTCACGCGGTGCGTGCCGCTGTACTCCGGGTCTATGTACCCGGGCGTGCCGACGACCTCCTCGACGAGCTGGCCGCCGTGCTCCTCCACACCCGCCGCTTGAAACACCGCTGAGCCGAAGCCGGACAGGCGCGGCGTCCAGTTGACGTCCAGGAGGATGTTGGACGAGCTGACATTGCGATGGATGACCAGCGGATCCGCGCCGCCGTGCAGGTAGTGGATGGCCCGGGCCACGCCCAGCAGCACCTCCACGCGCGTCTCCCAGGACGTCGTCACCGGCGACGAGCTAGGCCCACCGCCCAAATGCTGCAGGTGGTCTCTAAGCGTTCCTTTGCCCATATGCTCGTAGACCAGCATGCGGTACTCCTGCTCCGCGCACCAGCCGACGAGGCGGACGATGTGGTCGTGCCGGAGGCCGGAAAGGATGTTGCTCTCCGCCATGAACGCGTCCTCCACGCCCTGCCGCCTGTGCTGTTCCAGCACCTTCACGGCCACCTCCGTGCCGTGGTGGAAGTGGAACTGGAATTGGAGACGGCCCTTGTATACCCTCCCCGAGTTGCCTCGGCCGAGCTCGACGGCAAAGCTGGTCGCCGCTGCAATCTCCGACCACGTGAGCGCCCTGGGGTTATCGAAGGAGATCGAGCTTACCTGCGACTGCGGCACCACCACCAGCTGAGTCTGCAGGGAGCCAGAGCTGAAGCCTGGCCACGGCGCCATGGCTATTGTCGCAGTCGGTACGCCGATTTGACTGGGTTGAAGGACTTGGTTGAAGTGTCGCCGGGCCATGTAGCTGTTTAGGCTGAGGTTGAGGATGACGACGTCGCCCGTAATCCTGGCGTTGAGTTGATTGAAGCAGTCGGCGTGGCGGCGGGATCCGAAGAACTGGCTGGCGGCGCCCCGGTTCTGGCAGGCGATGACCATGCCGTGCGCCTCCTCAAGCGTGTTGTTCAGCACCTTGAGCGGCGGCGCCATCTCCTGGTCCCGCGGCAGGTTAGACAGCACCCCGTCGACCGTGGACACGCGGCAGGCGAGGTGCTCACACTCCAGCCTGTTCTGGCGTACCGTGTCCACCGCCCGGATGATCATGGCGACGAGCCCGATCGCCTGCCCGATGAGCTGTGTCACCGCGGCCGCATCCCCCACGACCGCCAACGCCATGACCGATGACTCACTCCGGTGTACTACGAGTGGTACGTTCCCTGGCGTAGCTACTACTAGTAGACGGACGAGGTATCCGCTCTCTACGCGCGCTCGAGGCGTTTGTGGAAATGGTAGCACGCGCGAGCGCGAAGCAACGGGGAAGGCAGTGGCCTGTGGGCACTAGGCTCCACGCCATGTCTTTGGCCGTCGCTCCCTCTCTGCACCGTGTCGGAGACGACCCAAGAAATTGTCAAAGTCAAGCTCATCTTAAGATGCATCCCCTCTTGGCCCACACGCACCACATTGCGACCCACACAACCACAGAGCGTTCTCAACGGTTTGGTACACGCTCTAAATGTTACTTTATTTTTTCTCTCCAAGCAAATCGTTAGTTTGTTATAAGCAAAAAAGTTTTGATCCGGTTTTAAAATTTTAGGAAAAAAATGGACTGAGAACCATGCAGAATTGAAGCTTTTGATTCCCTCCCAAAAATAAAAATAAAGAACCCCCCCTGCCCCTCTCTTCTCCGGTGACCTCTCCCTGCTCCTCTCCTCCCCCTTCCCACCGGCCCGGCTCTCGTCTCCGGTGTGTCTCTTGCTCCCTCCTGTAGGGGGTTCGCCATTGGCGGCTGCTCCCGTGATGCGGGTTTCTTCCAACCGGTTTTGGGTCCTACTAGGGGTTTCCCTAGTAGTGTTGGCGATATGAGCCCGAACATGTTCCCGACGAGCTGCTTCATTGCTGCCGCATGACCCACAACCGCAATCGTCGCCATCATGTGTCAGTGATAATGTACAACGTACTAGTCTACAAATACTAAGTACATGTGGTGTTCCTCTATTGCCAGCTAATAATCAGCAACCAGAAGTAGTCGTAGTACAAGTGGAACTAGTTGCTAGGTTTTCTATGGGGGATCTTAATTTGTTATACGGAGCTACTCGCTTCAGAGACCAAGTTTGTCCCAACTTCCAACTTACACTGGAATAATAATGGAAATTATTGAACCTACGGCACTATAGAATGAAAGTTCACAGTGGAATAATGCAAACTATTGAACTTATGGCACTAGAATCCAAACTTGCACTGGAGCGGAAATACTTGAACTCTACCAGAAACGAAACATGCACTTTGCTATTTTACATTTGGTCTACGTCCCTCATCTTTTGGGCAATGCTCATCTCCACCGATAAAGACGTCACGTGCGTCTCCTGGCCAAGCTCACACACACACGTTCTGCATAAACCACGACCGCGTGACGACCGTGTTGAGTAGTCCTCTACATTGTGCAATAAACTGGCGCATGCATGTACTCGTGAATAATAATTTTTTTTGTGAGCGTAAAGGGAGTTTTATTGCAAATTCATAGAGTTACAGTCGAGAGGCCATACATCCTCAATACAAGGAAGAATCGAGCCTAGCCACACAGTAGTGGCACGCTCCGTACGGCTATAGTTTGCCAGCCGATCGGCAACTCTATTCTGCACACGACTAAGTTTCTGAGGAACAAACTCCCTAATACCAGATAAGTGGTTGATCTCCATCACTAGCTGACCATACACTGACCGTTGGAGAGCATCCGTAGCGAGACATGATAAAGCTTGGGATGAATCCGATTGAAGGATCACTGGGGCCTCGGAGTGCTCAATGGAAGTATACATATGATAGCTTCTCTACAATGTTTGCTTATTTAGTACATAATTTTCTAATGTATGTACAACATGTGTACTGCTAACTACTACGCCCGTCTTGGTTTATTAGTCTCCTATGTAACTTGTGCTGAATTTTAACCAAAGGTTTAACTGACAAATGTTAGGATATATATGACAACAAAAATTATATCGTTGGATTCGTATTTGAACATAGTTTACAATGACATAATTTTTGGTGCCATACATGGACATTTTGTTAATTAAATTTACGGTCAAAATTAAGCACAGATTACAACGGGGACTAATAAACCAGAACGGAGGTAGTAATTGAAAAACTATTGTTTGTATTGCTAACTAACTAAAAAGCTGCTGTTTGTATTTTCTAATGGCTGTAAGCGTCAAAGTCTGAAGCATTTTTTCTTGTTCTGTTGTGCTGGATGGATGCCTAGCTAGCAGCAAAGTCTGAAGCATTTTTCTTTGTCCGTATATGGTTCACTCATAGCACTAGAGGCTGAAGTTACTCAGTGCATTTTTCTTGTTGTACAACCACTTGAATAGAAAACCAACCACAAAAAAAATAACTCAACTAAACACGGGGTTGGTGGAAGTCATCAATTATGACGGTATACCATACACAACGATTGATATAGGTTTCCAGATTTTTTTTTAATCCAGAACCAGTCGATTTTTCCTCGTCGTTGGATTGAGATCCAAACGGCCCAGACTTCTTCTTCTTCCTCCAGCATGGCAGCAACCCCTCATCTCCTTGTCGTTGCCTCTCCTCCGGCTGTGACATAATAGCTAGCTTCAGCTCATTTCTGACTGCTTAGTATTTATGATCGCCATCGACCTCTCGAGGTTGGTCACAACGTTCGACATGGCAGGCCGGTCGTTCCCATGTGGAAACAGGCAGCACTCCGCCGTGTGCGCCACGAGCTCCAGCGCCTGCAGCTGCCGGGGCGTCGCCGCGGGGCGCCGGACCAGCACATCCCGTAGCTTCCTGTTGCGTATGGCCAGGAGCACCGAGTCCATCTGCATGGTGGCGGCATCCTCCCCCGTCAGCGTCTCTAGTATCACCATCCCGAAGCTGTACACATCGCTCGCCGCGCTCACACACCCAGTGCGGCTGTACTCCGGGTCGACGTAACCAGGCGTGCCGACGACCTCAGTCTCGACCTGGTCTCCGGCCGCCGGCAGCAAGATCGCTTGGCCGAAGCCGGACAGGCGCGGCGTCCAGCTGCCGTCCAGCAGGATGTTGAACGAGGTCACGTTGCGGTGGATAACTCCGAAACGGTGCAAGTGCTCCATGGCCCGCGATGTGCCCAGCAGCACCTCGACGCGCATCTTCCAGGTCGACCTCACCGGCGACGACCTAAAGCTAGAGCGGCCCCTCAGGCGCGCTCGAACGCGCACGCGCACGCGCAGGCGCAGCAGGTGGTCTCTGAGCGTGCCGTTGCTCGTATGCTCGTGGAGGTAGACGATGATGCGGTCCTCCTCCTCGGAGCACCAGCCGACGAGTCGCACGATGTGTGGGTGGCGGAGGGGGGAGAGGATCTCGACCTCCGTCACGACCGCGCCCTCCACGTCCTGCCGCCCGTTCTTGATAAGCACCTTCACGGCCACCTCCGTCTCCGTGCCGTCGCGGAGACGGCCCTTGTACAGCACCTCGGAGCTGCGTCGGCTGAGTTCGTCGGCGAAGTAATCGGTCGCCGCTGCAATTTGCGCCCACGTGAGCCTCACGGGGGCAGCAGGACCCGAGGAGGAGCCCGGCGACGACACTGTCGCCGTATCCGTGTGGTTGGGAGGGGTGCCGCCGGCGGTGGTGTTAAAGACCAAGTTGAGGAGGTTGATGTGGGAGTCGATCCTGCCGTTGACCTCCTTCAAGCTGTCGGCATGGCGGCGGGCCCCGATGAGCTGCCGGGCGGTGCTCCAGTTCTGGCAGTCGAGGACCAGCTCGTGCGCCTCGCCCAGCGTCTTGCCCAGCTCCGTGAGCGACCGCTTCACCTTGGCGTCCTGCGGCAGGCGAGGCAGCACCTCGCCGATGATGGACAGGCGGACCGTGAGGTACACGCACTCCCGCTTGTTCTGGCGCGCCGTCCTCGCCGCATCAATGATCTTGGAGATGAGCCTGCCCACAGTCCCGACGAGTTGAGCCACCGAGGCTGCATTCCCAAGCATGTCCATGACTCACTGTGCTCTACTAGGTAGTACTACGTAGTAGTAATACGAAGAAAAAGGAGGAGGAGGAGGAGGAAGACAAGGAGATAGTACTAGAACTAGACTGGTACTAGCTAGGAGTAATATATACTGTACTACGTGGAGTATGTTTACTATAGGTATACATGGCCTTGATATATTAGCCGCGTTAGGTATTGGCACGGTGTGAAAAATTTCCCAGAGAAGAAAATTTCAAATGCTTTCGCTCTCCCCATTTAATTCTGATTCTGATATACTACTTGGAAGCGAGCTTCTCTCGAGGCGTTCGAGGAAACCCCCATGAGTATCTTCGATGAGCCGTCAAACACGCGGTTTGAACGGACTGGTCCGCGGCTCTCTAGATGGAGAAAGTACAGATGGGGCCGTTGTGGAGTGGGCTGGGTTCCTCATCCGGCTGGGTGAAGTGACGCAGCTACTCACTACAGCACAGACGTCAGCAGGCTTCATGCTGTTAAGCTGCGACAACGACACCACAGCTCAGAAATGAAAAACTTGTTTAATACTTACATGTAGTCATAATGATGTTGTGTGATTTTCTTCTCATTCCTTCCATGCATGAGGGTTATTAATGATCTCTTTTAACAAGAAGAAAATTTGACTTGCAAAGGGGTCATTAATTTTTACCTTGATATCTGTAATTTGAGTTTATGGCCTTGTATAAGGGAATAGAGGGAGTATTTTTTTTCTTCTTATTTTGCTTCAACACATGTGATATTTTTCTCTGGGCTCAATCACTGTTTGACAGCAGGAATGTATTGCACTTCACATATTTTTATTCTTTCAGCCCAGGATCAACCAGCCATACTTTTAGTTTGATTCCACACTTCATAACACTTTTAACTTTTAAACCAATGATGCGTTTTTCAATCCGTTTGCAGATTTAGGTTCATGACATTTAAATCGTTAAAACAACAACAATTTTGGACATGGTTTGTACAAGTTCAAATTCGAATGTTTATACAGTAATGAAACATATATAATAGTATACCGGATGGTACAACCGGAGTGAACCAATAATGAAAACATGCACAAATAATAATAAAACATAATGAAACTTATATCAAATCAGAGATGAAACATTAATGATGCATAGAATGAAACAATGACGAAAATTATGCAAACATGAATGAAAATATAATGAAAACATGTAAAATAGCCGTGCCACAGAAATGAAACCATATTGGAAAATATGAAAATAACACCTTTAGAACTCAGCCCAACCATGAAAGATAATTTACCGAAATGATATGAATACTTATTTCAAGACTCCAAAAATAGAAACAAAAAACTGAATGAAATAGTACCAATATATGGAATGAAAATGCAATGAAAACTTGCAGCGAATTTTTTTTTGGATTTGAAAAAAAATTCAAAAATGTCCAAAATTGATCTTGTTTTGAAGATGTCATGAGTACTAATATCCCAAATTGTTATCAATCGGATATTTTGTTCAAAAGATATAATTGATACAATCAATCTTAACAAATCCTATCCTTCCAAAATCTATACTCCAACACATAAGAAACGGGAGCCGGTAGGGTATGCTGGATCGCCAGCTGGCGTCGGCGTGGCAACTGGAGGCGCTAGAGATCATGGCGGTGTGGTGCCTGTGCCCGCAGGGAAAGGACCGGCCGGCCATGTTGACCGTCGTGGCCAACCTCGAGACAGTGTTGTGGAACATAGCTACACAGCCATGAATCTAAGCTATCACATATATCAATATGTCACGATAAATGTAATGTATTTTGCCAACCGAAACATCATTCAAATAAGAATTCGATATATCTCTAACAAACATGGCTCCTCTATTTCAGCACCATACCATTCTAAAAATAGTATGTAGCTCACTTTTATTGGGTCAGATTCTAACTGGTTAATTCTATTGTTTTTTGATAAATTGGTTAATTCCTCAAAAATATTTAATATGTTGTTTTTTTCTTTGGACGGTAATGTTCACCTTTTATGATCCTTGGATTGGAGGTTGAACTTCAAGAGGTGACCTCATCTCATTCTTCATAAAGTGTACCCCTTTGCTAGTCTCATGAAGATGAGATCTTTGAACAATCGACATAGTACCTCTAGAAACAAATAATATGTTTCGTATTGAACGATAATATTTTAGCAAATAAGAAAGGGAGATATGATGCTCTTGTTTTCATTAGGAGTTAGTATCAGTAGAAAGAATCCACATGCATGTCCTCACTCTTAATAAACTCAGCCCATGATTACATCAACATCCAATTATTTTCAGGCTAGACAACACCCCGTTGATGGTGGGCACGCGGCGTGCGATGAGGTCACACTCCAGCTTGTTCTGGCACGCCGTCTCCACCGCCCGCTTGATCTTGCAGATGAGCCCGAACGCGTTGCCGACGAGCTGCGTCACTGCCGTCACATGCCCCACAACAGCAAGCGTCGCCATTATGGCTCAATGACAGTTTACAATGTACTACTGGTCTACGAACACTAAGTACGTGTGGTGTTCCCCTATTAATATATACTAGCTAATAATCAGCAACCAGAAGAAGTAGTCGTAGACTCGTAGTACAAGTGGAGCTAGTTGCTAGGTTTTCTATGGGGAATCTTAATTTTATTATATGGAGCTACTCGCTTCAGCCAACTTCCAACTTACAATGGAACCGATAATAATGCAAACTATTGAACCTATGGCACTACATAATTCAAACTGACAGTGGAATAATGCAAACTATATATTGGACCTATGGCACTACAATCCAAACTTGCACTCCAATGCAAATTATTGAACTTATAGTAGAAACAAAACTTAAACTTTAGTATATTTAACATTTGGTCTAAGTCCCTCATCTTTTGGGCAGGGCTCACCTCTGCTGACAAAGACGGCACGCGTCGTCCCCTGGACTAGCTCACGCACATACATTCTGCATACCCCTGGCCTAGCTCACGTACACACATTCTGCGTAAATTAACCATGATAGCATGACCGTGTTGAATACTCCTTTCAATTCTGCAATAAACTAGCGCATGCATGTGCTCGTGAATAATATCGGTGCTAGCAGTGTTCAGTGCAGCCATATTGTGTGTAAGCCTCATGAGTCTGCTTGTTGGTCTAACCAGCATGGTCACCAACGATCTTGACATGGCCAATTGTTATTGGAATGGCTGGTGTTCAAGGTTAAAAAAATGAATTATACTAGCTTATAAAAAAGGGTAAGTATACATTGTATCTCTAAACTTATCGGGCATGTAAATTTATCCCTTTTCTTGTTGATGTGTGTAATCCCCCCCCCCCCCTAGTTGCCAACGTCAGTCGGTCCCCTGAGCAGTTTGGGGTGGCTAAACCCAGATTTGAACAATGTCAGTCAGTACTATGGAATAGCCGGTTTGTGAGCAGTGTGTCCTAGATAAATAGGTCACCACTAATGGGTCGAGTGATGGGGCATGTCAGCAGTGAGGACATTACCGAGGGGCCTTCCGTATGGACCCATTAGTGGTGGCTTCTATAATGTTTTTGGCGGTTAGGGTTGCATCTACAAGTAGAGCTTACAAAAGACACACCGCTAGCAGTACAACCCATCACACACTACCTCTCAATAGCCCGAGCTGTTGTCAAGCATATCACATAATCAATCATATACATTTCATACACATTTCAAAATACATAAAAAAAATCAAATGCATTGCACACATTCGACATTCATTACACAATTTCATACACAATGAATATGCACATAGCACATGCACACATTTCATACACCCATATTATGGATCTTATATTGCATCTATTGAGGTTTATGCAACATTCAGAATTTCCACCACCTCTAACCCATGCCAACTCCGTCTTCATCTTCAAGATCATCCACACATCTCAGATCCTTGACCTTCCATTTTCTCTCCCTTTTTCGGGAGGACAGGTTCGTTAGTTCCATTATCAACCCCAGAACATATAATATAACACTTGAGGCCCTTGTCACCTCCGACTTCAAGATTGTCCAGATCATACTCAAGGCGATGTGTTTACTGGTCGGAGTTGTTTGTACTGACTTAGCAATTGAACTTTTTGTATAGTGTGAATGAATTATAATATTGTCACCATCGTCGCATTTTGGTTACACTATACAAACCGCTTTCAAAAAAGTGTGGGAAAAGCATATGTCATCCTTTTTATGTAACTCATTTTGCAAAAGAATAGCTTCGGCCAATGACTTCTTTTCCTTAAATGCAAAGCACTCTTCCTCCTGATGGATATTGTAATAATGGATAATACCTACTTAGATAGTTGGTCGTGCACAAAATCAGACAAAAGAGAAACATGCTTAAGAATTATTGGAGTTGTGTATTTTGTCTAGGACATTCTTCAGAAAATCAAGTAAATGACCAAAAAATCCTAAGATATACAGGATTCAAATATAACCAAACTTATTTATTACGCATCCATTAGATTTTTGTGTATGTATATACCCAGAGTACGCAATACATTTTATTGTATGTGCATACTAATTATATTGACATACCTTGACATGAAATTTATGAGTATATACCCCGATACAATAAATACATAGGATCATATGGGTAAATGTAACAAAAATTTATAAAACTAAAAAGAATCATGGGTGGATATATGTACATAGGAAAAAAAAAATCATGCGCGGGTATCATATATTCCTACAAGTAAAAAAAATCGATCACATTTTATACTATTTGGTCAACTTAGTTTGTACATAAATATTAGCCGTTAAAAGTGTGACCCGGCCTTAATTTTTGTTTGAAGACTAGATACCTTGAAAGTGAAAACTTTAGAAAAATGTACAAGAACATCCTTAATATACATACAAACCTTTGGGATAACGTTCGTATTATTTGTCATATCTGATAACATAAAAAATAAGAGTGTATATACACACCCTTTTTGTTGGGAAAGGAACCATACTAGGAAACTAGTAGTATGTTAATGTCTTGGAAAGCAATCATTGACCATTGATGGTTGT